CTTCTTAGTTTTTAGCTCAGGAAATTTCCCAAATACAAGCAAGGAGTAGAAGGGATTAGATTCTTCATTTACAAAGACATCAAATAGATACAAATCCCATGCTCAGAAGCAAGGCACTGTGTTAACTGTAAGAAATAACATGATCAAGGAGCTTAGAGAGAACCAGGAGCAATAACTCATGTGATCAGAACAATATTACAAAACAGAAAAAAAGTTCGCAGAAGAGATTCGGCGCTGCGGGAAAAGAAAGATTACTTCCAATCAGGATGGCCAGGAAAGAATTTCAAAAAGATTTTTGAGTTAAACTTTAAAGAGAGAGATAAATTCTGAGATCTGTGGAGGAAGAAGATTCTAGGCAGAGGAAAAGCAGACCATAAACCCAGCACTGAGAACAGGAAACTACGTGTATGAAGGAGGAAGAAGCACATGGCTCAGTTTAGATGCTAGAAATAAATTTTCTTACAAGTTGCTTGGGGTCTGCTCTTAGAGGTTCCTGTACTATTATTTAAAAATTTGGAAATGTCACTGTATATATGTCATGGTGTTACCAGGTGACAAGGGTACTTACAGAGCCTATTTTCCTTTTGAAGTGCCAGTTCCAGACATGAAAAACACATGCATATTTTAAGGAAAAAAAACAACTTTTAGATGTAAATCGTGCCCTAAAATAGCTGGTAAAAGGTTAGAGAAGTAAATTAAACGGTAATATATACATACAGAAGGAGAAGGGGTGGGGGTCTTGGCTGTAATTATACAGGGCCTTCCCTATCCCTTTAAGTGGCTGGCATTGAAAAATGAGGCAGGATCAGAAGGAATTCCAAACATGCTTGGCCTTTAAGATCTATAAATAGGAGGCGTACTATTTATATGTAACCTACTTCCAAATCCCCCTTATTTAAGTGGCTACCTGGGGCAGCCACGGGAACTTAATTCTGGGCAGTCCAGAAGCTCACAGCTCCGGCGAGGGACCCTGGTCACGCCTGGCGGTTGGTTTCCACAGCACTGACGTCCAGCACTAGCTGTACTGTCGTCTGTTCATACATGAAAGTAGAGAAAAGACAAAGTAGAGAAAATAGCATAATGAACTTACACAGACCTATCACATAGATTGGATAATTATCAGGATTTTGCCACATTTGCTTTATCTGTTCGATTTTTGGAAATCCTGAGACACTATAAAGTATTCCAGGCATTGTCCTTTCATTTCTACTACTTCGTTCAGCGTCTTGTTCACATGTAATCATTTTCTTAAGTAATCTTAATGAGATCAATATCTATTCTTCTGTACCATCTAACTCCATTATAATCAAATTGCCCCTACTGTCTCAGACGTGCTGCTTTTTTTTAGATGGCTTGTTTGAGTAAAAATCTAAAGAAGGTCCGCACTGGACATTTGGTGGTTATGTCTCTTAAGACACTTAGTTTGCAGAAGTAACCTACCCCATTTCCTTTTTCTCTGTGCCCTAGGCTTGTTTAAACCGGGTCAGTGTTCTCGTAGAACACACCGTGGTCCACTTTTTTGTCTTAGCTTCCTTGTGATATTATTTAACTGTACACCCAAATACATTTTTGGATTCAGTAGTATCAGTTTCTATATATTCATATTCTCCTTGGGCACAGATGAATAAGCTAAAGGAATTTATTGGGATAAACAGAAGCTTTTCTTTTTTAAGATGGCAGAACTGAATTTTAATGCTAGCTGACCACTTACTTGTGTAAATTCATATTTGTATACATGATTTAACTTCTCTAAGTTAATTTCATTATAAGCACCCACTAATTTCATTAGTCCTGACAAAAAGGTCTAGGCCAAGAGGCTGAACAGTATTTGTGTGCATGGGAGGGGAGAGTTCATGAGTTAAATTAACACATCTTTCAGCCCGCCCCATTGCTTGAAGGCAGGTGGACGCCCTGTCTGCGGAACTGGTAGTAAGTCTTCCCGGGACCGGAGAAAGGGTGCTGGGGTCTCAGCAGGCAAAGTTCAGCCTGTTCATGGGGTTTTGTATCAATCTATCCCATGGGCTTTCTGAAAAGTCTTCTGAGCTGTTGCTGCTGCTGCACTGACATCTCTTGGCCTGGGAACGAGTTGACAGTAATGTTTCATTGCCAAAGGCCACCATTTCATTTCCGCCATTTCACATGGAAAGTGAAACAGGGAAGGTGGTCACATGAATGCTTAAATCATTCTGCTGTTCTGTGGCTTGTTGATAACGGTAACGTCCTATGCGGTACAAACTTCACACGCACTGGAACAGCTGTGTGCAATGCGCCAGAACCTAGGGAGATGCTTCTCAAAGGGCAGTCAAAGGGTTCCCTGCGCCAAAATCGTCCGGGGATGCTAGTGAAAATGTGCACCTCTGGGCCCTGCTTCAGACCCAGTGAATCAAAATCTCTGGAAGTAGAGCCCGAGAATGTGCATTTTAATGTGCATGCTGCAGTTTGAGAATCTATGAGGTATTCTGGGAGGAGACTTCCCAGCGGTGACGAACTTGGCCAGAGTTACCTAGTTATGAAATGGAGAAGCTGTTACTGTAATCCACACTTCTAATTGCCAATGATGGTCACATATCTCTCACTAAACCACTCCTATCCATCTTTGGAACATTTAGCTTATTAATAAACCCGTGTTTTCAAGGCCTTAAGATGCTGTGTGATTCCTCTCTTCCATTCCTTTCTGGAAGACAGGTTCATCAGAGTAGGATACGGAGCACTCCCTCTATGAACTGGCCGTTCCTTTGCTCACCCCCAAACCCCATCTTCTCCGTCCTCTCTCCCCCTCCAGTCTTTGTCCTTGTCCTTCTTCTTAAGGGAAGAAATTTCCAATATCCGTTCCTGGCAAGTTTGAAATACAACTTGAAAATGAAATGCAGAGTCTTGCTACCAATTTACAGAATTTCTTTCAGTTATTTGCACTTATTTACAAGAGTTATTTCATGGCTATGATACAGGAAGTGGTAATCACGGTTCTGATGGTAATTCTGTCCTGCATGCAGTGCCAGCATCAGGCAAAAGCTATGATTCCTCTGTCCAGCAATTGCAAAACATAAGAGGATGAAAGACTAGAAACAAAGAAAAAGTGAGCCACATTTAAACACTGCACACATTCTGAGGGGTAAAGTCATGCCATCTTTATCACTAATAGCTGAGGTCAAGGTATTACTAAAGTTCTAGTTGTTTCCAGTATTTAAATTGTGTGAAGTCCATTGTAACGCAGTTAGAACAAAGAGAGCCATTTGGCTTAGATCCCAGAAGACTCTAATTGAGTCCTATAGCAGGGCATCTTTCTATCATGGCATTTAGGTCCTGAATGAATGATTGTGAGAAACTGCTTGAAATCTTCTTGCTTCAGGAATCTTGAAATACAAGACTTTGGAAGACAATGGAGAGAACCTTAGTGATAGTCTGTCTCTAAGCAATTCTGAGAGGTAAGCTTCCAGACTTGCCACGCCAGACAAGTGTTTGCAAGGGGCTTGCAGCTACAGTAGAGGGGAAAGGGCTTTAACTTGGCTTTCTTACATTTCAGTTTTTTAAGTTTGCAGATTGTATTTTCTGTTTTTTCCCATTTCCCTTTTTCTCTTGTTTCAGCCCTTTATTTCTAATTCAATCTTCCATCCTTTTGTTATACATTTTTTTAAAAAAAAAAGACTTTATTTCTTAAAGCAGTTTTAAGTTCACAGCAAAACTGAGTAAAAGGTATAGAGATTTTACATATTCTCCTCACCCAAAGCCCATGGTTCACATTAGGGTTCACTCTGGGTGTTGTTATTCTGTGGGTTTACTGTTGCATTTTGAAAGTTCTTTGTCTATCTTGAATAACAGTTCTTTATTAGACATGTCTTTTGAAGGTATTTTCTCCAAGCATGTGGTTTGTCTTTTCATTCTCTTGACTGTCTTTTAGAAATAAAATCGATGGCTCCTCAATTCTTTCTTTTTCAGTAGCAAAGTTTTCACCCAAAACTCTTTCTTCTCACCAGATTCCAAGCTCTGCGGTCACAGATGCCTGTTCTATATGTCATTTATCTTTTGCCTCCACTAACTCCAACCACCTCAGGCCACAAAGATGCCTGAGATCACTCACTGCAACAGCCTCCCCATGGATTACTCTGAATTCATTTTCTTATTGGAATTCTTCCCTTGCATTTGCACCAATGCATTTCCAAACATTGATATGATCAGATTCATTCACTCAAAAGAACTTATACAGAATAAAGTCCAAATTCCTTACTATGGCATTCAAGGCTCTCCATGCATCGGCCTTGGTTTCAACCTAGTTGACCAGCTCACTGAAGTCCGAAGTCTGTCTCCTTGAAAATCAGGGATAGTACATTAAGATCTGTCTCACCCCTGGGGGAGGGGGCGGGGTGTGTGTGTGTGTGTGTGTGTGTGTGTGTGTGTGTGTGTGTGTGTGTGTGTTGTTGAGTGGAACCACTAACATAACTCTCATACATGGTGATTGCTCAGCTGGAAATGTGGCCACACACACTGCGTTTGTCCCAGTTGCTACCGTAATTACCCCGACAAAGGCTCCCAAGCGACTTCAGAGCTGTGTCATCATCTTGCGGGTAGACATGCAGCCAGAAAAGCCTGACTGCGGACAATGCACTGGCTTTCTGCAGCCTGGGGTCTGGAAAAGGGGCCCTGATTTACTTTTAATATTCTTCAGATAGCTTTGACCGGACCCTCAAATTGTAAGGTATCTGCAGTTCTAAAAACATGATCAAAATAAAAAAAATTAAATATACTTTTCTTTTATTGTGCTACTCATAGGCTTGGTATTAACACAAGCAATTGCTTTAATACAAGTCTGGAAAGCAAAATACATTCAGCAGCGAAAACTCCTAAGGCAGCAGCATGAAGAGCACACTCTTTCAGGGATCGCCCCGCCAGTCTCACGCGAGAGCAGGTGCAGTCGCCGGTTTCTCTCTCTTATTCTCGCGAGAACCAAGAGCTTCCCCGTCCCGTTCGCCGAGACCACTGCAGCGTCTCCTGGGGCAACAGCAATGGCGGCGCCCGTGTCCGAGCGGCTCTTCTCGCTGGAGCTGCTCGTAGACTGGGTGCGTCTGGAAGCCAGACTGACGCCGCCGCCGCCGCCCGTAGTCGAGGCGGAGGAGGAGCGGGAGCAGGAGGAGGAGGCATCGCCGCCGCCATCGCGCTCCCTGTGCCCCGCCGTGGCCTTCCGCCTGCTGGACTTCCCCACGCTGCTGGTTTACCCTCGCGGGGGGCCCGCTGCGCCTGCCCCGGAGCCCCGGCCCGGTCTGCTCAGCTTCGGTCGCGGCAAGTCCTGCCTCTTCCGCCTGCCCCCCGCCACCCTGCGCCGCCGCCTCCTGGAGACCCCGCTGTACTCCTTGCTGCTGCAGCTGCCCCCCGGTCGGCCGACTCCTGCCCCGCAGCTCCTGGGCACCTGCAGCATCTCGCTGGCCGTCGCGGCCCGCGAGGTGCTGGGGCCGGTCGCCTCCGGCTGCTCCCACGGCCATCGAGGAAATTTCCCTCTGCACAACCATGTAGGGGAGCGTATTGGGGATATCTCGCTGGCCTACCGCCTGACTGACCTGGGGGGCAGCTTGCTGGGCCACCTGCAGCGGCCCGTCATTTCCACAGAAGGCGGCGAGGAGGGCGCAGAGGTGTGGGAGACAGCGGAGGTCCGGTCCCAAGCCCAGCAGGAAAAGCCGCTGCAGCAGCCAGGCTCAGACCCAAGCCCCAGAGATGCTGATAGGCCTCTGCAGGGTTTAAAACATCCGAAGGCCCAGGAGGATTTGAAGGAAACAGTTTTCCATAGTAAGGCCAACTCTGATAACACGGGTCTTGTGGAGAAGGGCAAAACCAACTCGGTTTGTTCAAGTGCCAGTGGTGTGGAGCGTCTCAGCCCCCCAAGTCAGGAAGTCTCAGGGCTGGACATTGAAACGAACATATTTTGCCCTCCTCCTCTGTATTACACTCACATGACCCAAGAAAAGAGGCCTCCTCTGCAGGGTAAAATCACCATTAAGCCTCAAATGCATGTACCTGAGGAGTTGGATGGTGCTTTTCCGGAAGAGAAACTCGTAAATCCCACAACACCTACTGATCTAAAACATACAAATTCTGCTGCAAAACATGAGAGTCCTGCAGTGCTTAATCCTCCTCATGTTCAGGATATAGCAGCAAGTGATCCAAAAACATGTCACCCTCAAACTGAACAAGGTAGAATTAATACAATAAGGCAGTTGCCTTTGTTAAATGCTTTGTTGGTTGAGTTGTCCTTGTTATACAACCAACCTGTGGCAAGTCCTACTCATATACATCCTCACTTAGCCTGGTTATATAGAACTGAGGATAAGAAGTCACCAGAATCTTCTGACAAATTCACAAACAAATGTGAATCAAAGAAAGATAAGCTTTCTGTGGGAGAAAATGAAAAGTCGTTGAGTCTTCAGTATAAAAAGAACCAGATGGGAAATCTTAAGAAAGGTAAATATTTTGAAAAGAACAATGGTGGCCCTCAAAAGAGAGTTTTAAGGGGTAAGCTGCTCTATGGCTTAACAAATACACTTAAACTACGTTTAAAGCAGACAAATCCTGGTATGTTAGTAGTACATGAAAAGAGAGAACAGTATAGAAAGATGCAAGCACAAATGTTAGATGCAAAACTCAGAATTCCATCATCTAAAGTTAAAGTATTCAGCTTTGCAGAGCAACACCAGAAGCCACATCAACTCCCTAGAGATAAGTATTTAGAATCAGACACATCTTTTGCTAAAAATAGTGATTCCTCAAAGCTAATTAGTGGAGTTTTTTATGACCTCAGCACAACTAAAGAAACTAAACTGAAATGTGCAACTGAAAAGACAGTTAACTATGGAGAAAATAGGACGAATAATGGTTCTTTAGAAGAAATTGTGAGTCCCGCAAATTCAGTTATTCAAGAAAGGTTTGCTAATACAGATATTTTGGAAGGAAAAATGGAAATGAAAGCCCAAAGTCCAATGGTTTTCCAACAGGTTGCAGTTGTTGACAAAATTGTAATAGATAAAGAAATAGATGACAAGCAAGTCAAAACTAGTGGTAATGATATTCTTACTGCAGATGTGAGTGAAAGTAAGCCAAGTAAAAATAGTTGCTCTGAAAGCATCTCAGAACTAAAATATTCAGAAGACTTCACCAGCCCTTGCTATTCTGAAGATTTTTGTAGTACTGAGGACACTAGCAGAATTTTACAGGGCCATGGAAGTCCAGGGACAGAAAATCCAAAACATAGTCAATATACAAGTAAGTCTAGTGAAACAAGATTGTACATAAGGAAAAACAGCAATGAAAAGAGTTTTATTCTTAGCCCGCCATTTTCAGCTGGATCACCAGTACACTCATCTAAAAGATCTCATATGTCAAAGACTCAAGACAAAAGTTTGGAAGAGGCATCTACTATCTCTACCAGTGATTTATCTTCTTATTGGACTGAGGAAAAAGAAAACCAGATAGACCAAAATACTATGCATAATTCTAAAGTTAGAAAGAGTGGTCAAGACATCTCTGTTAAACTTAAAACAACTGACTGCAAGTCTGTAGAAAAAAGCCAGTCAACTCGGACATCTCAAGTGAGTTCTTATCTGCCATCCAATTTGTCAGAACACAGTAAAGCAGATCACTTTGAAGAAGACAGCGATGAAATTGACTCACTAAATATTTCCAAGCAATGCAAAGATATTTGTGAATTAGTAATGAATAAACTTCCAGGATATACAATGTAAAAATGTGCTTTTGAAAAATGTTTAATTTTTTTATAACCCATGTGTACTGTTAGTGAAACAATTTTTAATAACTTTTTTACATTATTTTCATTCCATAAATAATGAGAATAGTTCTTGATTTTTAGTCTTCTATGTTAAATCATACAGTATTGATCATGAAATCACCTTAACCTAGGTAAGATTTAAGTTGTTTAATCATATAAAAATAAAAGTGTCTATCTTCCTAAACCATCTCTCCTAAAGTATCTGTAGTAATGTCTTGGTCATCCTAAAGCTGACTTCATGCACACCATTGAAAAAAAGGCCAATTAATAAGAATAGCCTCAAATTTTAATGGGAACAAATCATTTAATAGAGAAAACTTACTATGTGAGATGCAGAAAGGTACAAAATATTTAAGATAACCTTTGAAATTATAGGATCTTACTGTTTTAAATAAATATGAGTTCTTTAGGGAAATCTTCTTTGGAAACATACATCTGATGTCCTCAATAGGTGAAGTCCTTTCCATATGCTGTCATGGTGCTCTATACATTTTGTTTGTTTATTTGTTTTAGCCACCATTTGTGTGATTACCTGATTAATGCTTACCTCTTTTTAGGCCAAAGCTAAGCTTGTCTTTGAGTTATTGTGTGAATACTTATTTCTAGAATTATAATGTTAATTTTTCTAGCTTAATTCTAGTGAAAATACCTATTTTCACATATGTATCTAGTACTTCCTGTTTGAACCTTCTCTTCAAAATCTACTTACGATTTAATTCTACAACCTATAAATTTAGTTTTTAAAGAATATCGTAATAGGTACTACTCCTGAAGCTTTATTTATCTCCTTCATTGCTTTAAATCATTGAGACATGAAATAGTATTTCAGGGTCACAAATAAGGGAGACCTATTGTTTAATCGCTTTTAAAGCGAAGCTGTAATGCAGCTTTTCTGGATAGGATAGGTGTCAAAATGCTGTGGGCACTGCTACATGGGAGAGGGTCCAAGAAGCAAAGTGAGTCATGGAAATGGTGCTAGGACCTACCTCTGTGTAGTACTAATACTTGCAGCTTAGGAGGCATCTGTCAACAGTGATAAGTGTTTTGAACTGTTACCGTAAGCAGATTTGACTGTGCCTATGAGTACAGTATTTTTTCCCTCCATTCATATGCATGCTCTTGGATCTTTAGGTGCAAAGAACAATGATATTGAACTTCTGTCATGCACTTTTTGTGGCTTTCTGTTGAGAGCCACTCCTTCAATTAATTTATATTTATATTTTTGCAATCAATATATTTTCTGCCTCTACAAGCAATGCAATTATTACAAAATTAAATTTAGGAACCAAATTTTTATTTGTTGCAAATATATAGGTCAACCCCATAACCTGAAAAAACAACTTTTTAATTACCAGATTGTGGTGTTGGTAAGGCAAAGAAATTTCATAACAAAGAAAACAACATACAAACAAGGTAAACAATATTACATTTGTCTAGTCATAAACTACCATTGGGCCTAGAGATATAGCCATCCTTTAGACTTCATATTTTAGTTTGGATTAAAATATCTGGAGTGTTGTACAGGATGACAGTTTATGAGCCAGGACTTGTTGGGTCCTTCTTATTTTTAACTTAAAACAATACAAGGAAAACTTACTTGGTCAAGGACCAAGGCATTTTTACAGTTTGTCTCTGGAGACCTAACTGTCATGCCAGGAATAACAGACTTCAGGGTGAGCATCATTATGTTGGAGTGCCAAACCGTAGTAGTGTAGTAGAAGTATTTACTTACTTTCCAAATACTTCTTACATCTGTTACACAAATAACAGTCTAGAAAAAAAATTTAGATGAGTTATTGCTTCAAAATTGTTTATTAAGGAAATGCCTCCCAAATCCCACTGAAATGACAGCGGAGGTGTAAAAATAAGAACGAGCCTTCGGTAGCCCTGCAGAAGAAGGAAAATGCTGGCAATGGACAGACAACTTGAACTTCTGAAAGATACAAGCAGATGGGATTAGGTTGATGAAAGTGGATTAGAAATACAGAGCCCAGATAAACTTCAACCTCAGTCAGCAGGTCCTAGGAATAGGAGTGGATCAGGGAAAACGGGTGGTAGAAACAGAACCCCGAGTATGAGGGAGAAAGTGGGGCTGGGCTAACGGGCATCTGCCAGAAAAGGTATAGGGACCAAAGAGAAAAACTGGTATTTTTGCTTCTGACACCAAAACATATTCCAAGTGTCTCAGTTTTATGGGGAAGACCACTGACGCTAGTGGGAAATTGAGGTGCTCTAATCCCGGTCTTTGGAGACAGGTGTGTGGTTTCTGCATCCTTGATTGGGTTCTGTTATTTTCGTAGATTATTTCTTCTCTTCGTTGATGTGAGGATTGAATCAAAGCATATATGACAGCGAATATGCATGAGAGTGCTGGAGTATTTAACAGAGAGCGTACCATGATACCTGTGTTCCTGCCCTAGGGAGGTATATTTTCAATTAAAGCCTCAGTCAGGAAATTAGCTCTTCTGCCGAAGTGGTTTAACCCTGCGCTTCCTGTGGTGTAGCAAGGGGCCCTGGAATCAAAAGAAGCAGCATGACGACCTCATGCAAGTAGCGGGGTGGGCGTGTGGGGGGCAGTGGGTTGGCGGGGGTAGAGACTGTTTGGGTGAGAGAGCAGAGCCACAAAACCAAGCTGCAGAAGGAGCCCTTCTCAGAATATTAAGTCAAGGGGTGCGTCTGGCTTGTCAGAAAACCAGAAGGGGAGGAAAGGACACAAAGCTTCCTTACCACCCACTAAGGAAGCCCTGAGCCAAGGCACTCGAGGGTGCGTTTCCTCAGAGAGACAGCGGTGTGTCCGTGCAGGCGGGACAAACCCAGCGGGCCCTGCCTACAGGAAGGTGCTTAGGAAAACCTCTTCGAAGCTAAACATTTTTTTCCCTCTGGATATTTCACATCTTTCCATAGTAGGTGCACAAACACGTCTGTTCCTTTCCTCTAAATGCCTTGGCGCTGGGGAGTGGGCAAGTGGGGACTGAGCGGTCAGTGATGCATCATGGTAAAAGCCAGAAGCTTCTATGTGGAATGAGTTGGGAAGAGATGAAACGTAACTCGCAGACCAGATAACTGTAACTGAGTAGAACTCTGGCAGCGGGAGTCAAGGGAGAGGCTGGGGTGTGAGTAAAGAATGCCCGCGCTTGACCAGGGACAGGCCCAGATAGGGTGTTACAGCAGCTCTGGGCAACAGGAGCACAAGGTAATGGCTGAAGGCCCTACGCTGGAAAGCAGCGGTCCGTGGCTCTGTGAATGAGTTCGTTAGTGCAGGATCAGAAGGAACCTATTCTCGTAAGCTGGGCTATTTAGAATATCATGTTTTATTTGCTTATTTTTTGTTTTCTTCTTGGTTATAATACAGGGTTGTTTCTTCTATTTTCTTTCTTTTTTTTTTTTTTTTGGAATGATCTTTTCGGTGAGCTGTAAGAGCATAGGAAATGGATTTGTTTGTGGCTCATAATTGACTGAAATCCTAAAGGAGTGGTGTTCCCTGCAGGTCCACATATTGAAAGAGGGAGAAACGAGGAATATGAAGCCTTAGACAGCCACTTCTTTCTACCCAGAGATCCCTCCTCCGGCAGTTCTCCCCGGGAAACCTTGGAGGGTTTTGCTTTTTGTTTCCTTAAGGGAAGCTGTTCAATTACGGAGTCTCACACCCCACAACTCCCTGAAGTACTGTATTTCAAAACTCGTGATTTTGGTGTCGACCCTGTGTAATAGATTGGGACCAAATTCTGGACTCAGAAGGACATAGAAATTGTTGGACCCCTTTAGAAATGGAGGAAGCTGTTGGGGTGCCAATTACTGCTTCCAAATCCAGAGTTCTTAAGGATATTCCTGAGTACTTTGGGACAGCATTTATTAACCTGAGGGAAAAGATCTTTCTAATCTTCTGAAAAGGTCCGGAGTATGAACGCTGGCTTCTCGTTAGCCGGCACTCCATAGCTCCGATATTCTCTGTAATAGCCGGGAGGCAGACATTTAGGGGTCAGAAGTCCTGTCTGCAGATGAAACTTCCATTCTCGTGCTGTTTTTCTGGAATACGCGATTTCTCAGTGCTGTCTTTCTGCTTCACTCATCACAGCCTTCGCTCCTACTGTCAACCTCAAAAACCAGCATTCGTGAGGATTTTACTAAAGTGATGGCCTTACTTTTCATTGGAAAATAGGACTGTTAATAAGAAAAGGTATCTTGGTTGTGGTCTCCACTGTTGTCATTAATTTAACGACACCACCTCCTGACTCGGACGTAGCACTCAGCTCACGAAGGGCCGCCACACTCTCCCACCCTCACGTCAATACCGAGCCCTGAGTTCAGTGTTGATATAGAAGAGGAAGCCGAGGCTGTTTTCCACATTGATTGCCTTTCTCACTCGCATAGAAAAACAGAAAGGTTCTTGGTATAAACCTCAGGAAGTTAACATTCCTTCAATACTCGTAATTACAAGAGTTGAATGGAGAGCAACAGTGTATAAATAGCTAAAATTCTAATTTTAAACATTATAAAACTGCTGTATTGTAGCCCTCTCTATTGTTTGTGTGTCTTTTATTTTGATCTCCTCACTCAACTATTTTTACTAAACCAGATGTATGCTTTCTGGCATCAAAAAGGAAGTATCCGTCTCTATGCTGAGAATGTGATTATACTATCATGGAATCCAGGTGTGGGATTAAAAAGCGGCTGGAATCGTCACACAATTCTCGCGAGAAAAGAAAGCTTGAATGCATTGGCATTTGGAGCTAGAAGATAATTTAGAAATCATTTCGTTAACTCCTTCATTTTATAAATAAGGAACATGGCTGAGAAAAATGGAGTTCCCTAGTCGTTTGCTCCTACTACAAGATCCATTTCATTAGAAAAATGCCACTTTGTGTCAAGTTGTGAACACAGCTCACCCACACTGTGTCTGCAGACGTTCCATAACATTTACATTGAGAAGACTAATCAAAAAAATTCACCCATTTA